GCCGAAAACTCCGGTTAGCTTGCCTTCTGGACTCTGTACCAGCCGCCACGGAAGGTAAGCAGCCTGAACAAAGAGGAAGTGGGGGGGAGGAAGCGGGGCCGCTACAGGAGGGGAAAAAGGGGGGACTGGTGAAGGCAAGGCAGGGATAGATAGGTGGAAATTCCAAAAATGTTCCTACCTTTTCCTGTGGACGTGGCTAGGTGGGAGAGGGGTCATGTGACTGGGCGTGAGTGATGTCAAGTTGGCCACGCCTACTCAGTCACATGCCCCCCCCACACACCTAGCCATGCCCGCCGAACCGGTAGCGAAAATTTTTGAAACCCACCACTGGAGTCAAGCTATTCTCCAAAGCCCCTGAGGGCAGGACAAGAAGCAATGGGTGGAAACTAATCAAGGAGAGAAGCAACCTAGAACTAAGGAGAAAATTTCCTGACAGTTAGAACAATTAGTCAGTGGAACAACTTGCCACCAGAAGTTGTGAATGCTCCAACACTGGAAGTTTTTAAGAAGATGTTGGTTAACCACTTGTCTGAAGTGGTGTAGGGTTTCCTGTCTAAGCAGGGGGTTGGACTAGAAGACCTCCAAGGTCCCTTCCAACTCGGTTATTCTTTTTCTACTCTAAAACCTAGGATACTAAGCCTACCGTTGTCTGGCTCCAGTTCTTCCTTCTGCTTCCCAAGGTTATTCTCACAGCCCATTAAACCTGATCTCACCTGCCTGTTTTACCTAACCGGTAAACCTGTACACCGCCCTGAGTCCTCAGGGAGAAGGGCGGTATAGAAATTCAATAATAAATAAAAAACCATTCATCAATTGCCAAGCTTCAGGCCAACCGCAGCAGTAACAGATGCAAACATGGATTGGAGAACTGCAGAAAAAGAAAACAGCCGGAAAAACTAGACAAGACGACGGACAGGGGCTTACTTAAAACAAGGACACCGATGCAATTAGGCATGACAGATAGACCTAAAAAACAAACAAAAAAAAAATCCCTAAAGTTCATGGAGCTAGGCTGTAACATCTGGAGAAATCTGTCTGCCTGCAACTTTAACAAGTTAAAGTTAGCTTTTCTGTAGAGTACGGAACGAGAGGAATCCGGTAGGAAGTTTGCAAGACTATCAGATGTTAAATATTTATTTATTAAATTGGTTTACTGTCCATCTAGATCTACATATCTAGATATCTAGATATCTATATCCAGATATCTAGATATCTATATCCATCTAGATATCTATCTATCATTATCATCATCATCATCATCATCATCCTATATTTATAGATACTCTTGAGCAGCTTGCAACATTAAAACAAAATCTACATACGTATCTATAAATATAGGATGATGATGATAATGATAGATAGATATCTAGATGTGAGAAAGAGAGAGAGAGAGAGAGAGAAAGAGATGGATAGATAGAAAGATAGATAGATAAAATGGGGCACAATTCATTTCACAAATGTTTCAGTTAGCAACAAACGTTTCAGGCTCAATTATGGTCATTTTTATTTATTTATTTTTTATTTTATTTTTAATTTGATTTATATGCCGCCCTTCTCCGGAGACTCAGGGCGGCTTACAATGCGTTAAGCAATAGCCTTCATACTTTTGTATATTTTATACAAAGTCAGCTTATTGCCCCCACAAACTGGGTCCTCAATTTACCTACCTTAGAAAGGACGGAAGGCTGAGTCAACCTTGAGCCTTGGAGAGATTCGAATTTACAGTAATTGCAGACAGCTGGTGTTAATCACAATGCTATCAGTCTGCTGAGCCACCAGGCCCGTCATAAGTCAAGGACTACCTATATTTGGCAGCTGGACGCTCAAAAGATCCTGCCACATCGGACCCTTCTCATGTGCTGAGGCCCACAAAATTCCAGTTTGTCTATTTTGGCAGGTGGCTCATCACTCTGACCTTGCTAGCGCTGCCCGCACTCACTCCCCAAATAGCCGAGGGATTACAGGTTAATTTTAACAGACTTTGGAGAATCTAAAGTTCACCTTTCTCGCAAAAACAACCGACAGATCGCGAAGATCAGGCTGCTCAGAGCAGAAGACTGGCCCTCCTGCTCTCCCAGGAGTGGAAATAACATAAAAGTAACAAGAGTTGGAAGGGACTTTGAAGGTCATCTAGTCCAACCCCCTGCCTTCGCGGGAAACCTGTACTAGGGATTCGAACCGCCAAACTGCCGACCTTTCCAATCGACAAGCTCAGTGTCTTAGCCACTGAGGATCCCCTTTCGTGAGGGTTCCTAGCAGAAACAGATTCAGAGGTAGACTGCCTTAGCACATGGAAGCTCCACTACACCAGACTTGCCATCCTGCAAGAGAGTACAGTGTCCAGAATTGGCACCTAGCGGTACCTGACCTGTTTTTCAAGCTTTGTTACGATCAAAAGAAGCGAAGTTCCAAAAAAAAAAAAAATGTTTCGTGATGACTCGATAAGATGATAGTTACTCCTCCCTGTAAGCTGAGTTCGCAGAACAGCCTTAAATTAAGGCCAGATAAAATCCCATTTCTAAATTCCAAAACGTACGAAGCCCTGAAAAACTAACCAGCATCCAAAACTCACCATGGTTAGTATTTAGTGCAGGCACTAAAGTATTTAGTCCTGTGTGAACATGAGCTTCGCTCCTAAATCAATGATTATCAATCTTGGCTACTTGAAGATGGGTGGACTTCAACTCCCAGAATTCCCCAGCCAGCCAGCATGGAGAGGAGAGTTTCCCCCAAATCATAGAAATAATAATTATTATGGGGGTGGCACAGAAGTTGGACGTTTATCAGGATTTGGCATTTTTAGGCACTTCTAAAATCCTTTGCAAGGATCTGGGAGAGGCAGATGGAACATAGAGTAATAGGACTGGGACTTATTATTGCATTATATTCATGTATATGAATATATATTACATTACATTAAATGTATATTATCTTGTATTAATATATATATATTATTGTAATATACATCGTATTATATCTCATATCTTTATTTTATACCTTCATGTTATATATTCTGTACTGCAGATCATATATCATATATTTATCATATCATACCATATATTATATTATATTTTATATTACCTTGTATAAGTTTATCTTATATCTTCATCTTATATCTATTATCTTATATATCATATATATATATATATACGTATTTTTAGAATAGTCTGTAATATACTGTATCTTATTTATTTATTTGATTTGATTTGTATGCCGCCCTATCTCCACAGGACTCAGGGCAGCTCACAACAATTAAAATCAAACCAGATAAAACATCAAAATACATATTAAACACATATTAAACATTAAAATAATCCAAACCCCATCAGTCCAGGCTGGGCAATTTGAACAGCCATGTTTTTAATTCGCGGTGGAAGGTGCTTATATCTTATATCACATATCATATTATATCATATATTATACCTTATATTATTATATTCTTACATCATCTTATATCTATATGATATATACTGTGTATCTTGTATTGTATATCGTATTATATTGTATCATATCTTATACCTTATATCTCATACCTTCATCTTACTGTGTATCTTATATTGTATATCATATATTACATCATATAATACCTTACATCTTATATATCTTATAGCTTCATCTTAGTATATATCTGATACTCAGTGTCTTATATTGCGTGTCTTATACGGTGTATCATATTCTATATTACATTTATAAGATGCAATATAGAATATGATACGCCGTATAAGACACGCAGGATAAGACAGAGTATCAAATATATACGAAGACGAAGCTATAAGATAAAGATGTGTAATAAAATATATAATATAAATTATCTCTATTTACCGTGCATCTTTAAATCTTATATATGCTACGCTGTAGCATTTGTCTTGCATCTTTCTATCTTATATATGCTACGCTGCATATCTCCTATCTCTTATACCATATCATATCACATATATTACATCCTAGGAGATCCTATATAAGATGTTGTTATTATGATCATCATCATCATCATCATCATTAATTATTATACCTTCATCTTACTGTGTATCTTATATTGCATATCATATATTACATCATATAATACCTTACATCTTATATATCTTTATCTTATAGCTTCATCTTCCTATATATCTCATACTCAGCGTCTTATACTGTGTGTCTTATACGGTGTATCATATTCTATATTACATTTATAAGATGCAATATAGAATATGATACGCCGTATAAGACACGCAGGATAAGACACTGAGTATCAAATATATCTTATATATGCTACGCTGCATATCTTCTGTCTCTTCTATTATATCATATCACATATATTACATCCTAGGAGATCCTATATAAGATGTCGTTATTATCATCATCATCATCATTAATTATTATACCTTCATCTTACTGTGTATCTTATATTGCATATCATATATTACATCATATAATACCTTACATCTTATATATCTTTATCTTATTGCTTCATCTTCCTATATATCTCATACTCAGCGTCTTATACTGTGTGTCTTATACGGTGTATCATATTCTATATTACATTTATAAGATGCAATATAGAATATGATACGCCGTATAAGACAAGCACGATAAGACACTGAGTATCACTGATATTTGATATCAAATATATCAAATATATGCTACGCTGCATATCTTCTGTCTCTTATATCATATCATATCATATCATATCACATATATTACATCCTAGGAGATCCTATATAAGATGTCATTATCATTATCATTATCATTATCATTATCATTATCAATCATTATCATGATTATGATTATGATTATGATTATGATTATTATTATTATTATTATTATTATTATTATTATTATATTATTATTATTATTATTATTATTATTATTATTTCCAGCCACTCCCACCCAGGGGGGTCTCTAAACGCTTCCAGCGCTGGCTCAGGATCCCACGCAAAGGAAGGGAAGCCGCGCAAAGAGAAAAGCCAGATGCGCGGCATCCTCATCTCACCCACCCCCTCAAACCCCCTTCCTACCTCGCAGGACCCCCGCGTAGGCAGCGATGAGCGTCTTCATGGCTCCGTCAGCAGCGCCCATCCATGCCGGGGTGGGTGGGACGGACGAGGGTCCGGCGGCTCAGCCAGCCCAGCGCCCGCCGCGACGGCCTTTATAGCACCTGCCCGGGGCGGAGCCGGCACGGCGGAGGCGGAGGAGGAGGAGGACGGAGGGGCGGGCCGAGCCGTGGCCGTTGCGGGCATTGTGATGCTGCGCGACCCCCCGGACCCCGGCCCCGACTCTCCCCCCACCCTTCTCGCCCAGGCGGGGAGGAGAAGGGCGCTCTCGGATGAGGAGGGCCCAGGGAGGGTCGCCCAGAAGAGGGGGAGAGCCAGGACCAGGGAAAGGCATAATAAGGGGGTACACAGGACAGGGAGGGGGGACTCACAGGGGAGGGTCGCCCAGAAGAGGGGGACCCAACGGCCCAGGGACACCCAGGAAGAGGGGGGACACACACTGGAGGGACACCCAGAAGAGGGGGACACCCAGGACCAGGGACACACAGAAGAGGGGGACACACAGGAAAAGGGGGACACAGAGAAGAGGGCACCCAGGGCCAGGGACACCAAGAAGAGGGGGACACCCAGGACCAGGGACACCTAGAAGAGGGGGACACCCAGGACCAGGGACACACAGAAGAGGGGGACACACAGGAAAAGGGGGACACAGAGAAGAGGGGGAAACCCAGGACCATTGGGACACAGAAGAGGGGGACACCCAGGACCAGGGACACACAGAAGAGGGGGACACACAGGACCAGGGACACACAGGAAGAGGGGGACACACAGGACCAGGGACACCAGAAGAGGGGGACACACAGGGCCAGGGACACCAAGAAGAGGGGGGACACCCAGAAGAGGGGGACACACAGGACCAGGGACACACAGGACCAGGGACACACAGAAGAGGGGGACACACAGGACCAGGGACACACAGAAGAGGGGGACACACAGGACCAGGGACACACAGGAAGAGGGGGACACACAGGACCAGGGACACCAAGAAGAGGGGGACACACAGGGCCAGGGACACCAAGAAGAGGGGGACACCCAGAAGAGGGGGACACACAGGACCAGGGACACACAGGACCAGGGACACACAGAAGAGGGGGACACACAGGACCAGGGACACACAGAAGAGGGGGACACACAGGACCAGGGACACACAGGAAGAGGGGGACACACAGGACCAGGGACACACAGGAAGAGGGGGACACACAGGACCAGGGACACCAAGAAGAGGGGGACACACAGGGCCAGGGACACCAAGAAGAGGGGGACACCCAGAAGAGGGGGACACACAGGACCAGGGACACACAGAAGAGGGGGACACACAGGACCAGGGACACACAGAAGAGGGGGACACACAGGACCAGGGACACACAGGAAGAGGGGGACACACAGGACCAGGGACACCAAGAAGAGGGGGACACACCCGGACCCCGGCCCCGACTCTCCCCCCACCCTTCTCGCCCAGGCGGGGAGGAGAAGGGCGCTCTCGGATGAGGAGGGCCCAGGGAGGGTCGCCCAGAAGAGGGGGAGAGCCAGGACCAGGGAAAGGCATAATAAGGGGGTACACAGGACAGGGAGGGGGGACTCACAGGGGAGGGTCGCCCAGAAGAGGGGGACCCAACGGCCCAGGGACACCCAGGAAGAGGGGGGACACACACTGGAGGGACACCCAGAAGAGGGGGACACCCAGGACCAGGGACACACAGAAGAGGGGGACACACAGGACCAGGGACACACAGAAGAGGGGGACACACAGGACCAGGGACACACAGGAAGAGGGGGACACACAGGACCAGGGACACCAAGAAGAGGGGGACACACAGGAAGAGGGGGACACAGAAGAGGGGGACACCCAGGACCAAGGGGACACAGAAGAGGGGGACACACAGGAAAAGGGAGACACCCAGAAGAGGGGGACAGACAGGACCAGGGACACCCAGAAGAGGGGGACACACAGGACCAGGGACACCCAGAAGAGCGGGATACACAGGACAAGGGACACCCAGAAAAATTGGGACGCGGCAGGGTCACACAGAAGGGGGGGACACACAGGGGAGGGTCATCCAGAAGAGGGGGTAACACAGGAAGGTCACCAGAAGGGGGGGACACACAGGGACGGGTCACCCAGAAGAGGAAGACACCCAGGAAAAGGGGGTCACAAAGGCCCAGGGACACCCAGGAAGAGGAGGATACCCAGGACCAGGGACATCCTAGGGAGGGTCACTCAGGAAGAGGGGGATACCCAGGGCAGCACGGGGATCAAGGCTGCGTGCAGATGGCTCTGTTCCCACAGGTTGCTAAAGCCAGCCCGGCTGTTGGCATGGATCCACCTGGCGCAGGTGGCTGAGGCTGGATCCAGACTGAGGGTAGCGAAGCCAAGATCCTGGCTCGGGTGGGAGTGGATGCCTGGGGCATTTGGAAAGAGCTGGTTAGCTTCCCACAAGATAATTAGACATCTCATCATCCTACTAAGTAACATCCTCCATGTCACAGAGTGTGGGGTTTGTTCTGTGTTTATATACTACTATTTATATGTCTTGTCTATAAACGGGGAGCAAACCCCACTCCCACCTAGATATTACCTAGTTGGGTAATGAAAAGTCCGCTAGCTAGCTAGCAAGCAAGCAACCAGCCATCAGGGATGAAACAAAAAATACTTTTTATTACAGATTGGATGCATTTTATGACCTTTTTGCCAAAAATGTAAAAACATGGAAGTGATTTAGGGATTTGCTGGTTGAAAAGGGTTGAATAGAGAGAAAAGGGGAAATGTGATATTAAAAGAAGGAGAGGGAAAAAATAAGTTTGTCGTAAAAGAAGTCGCAAAATGGGGCAAAACTCACTTAACAACTGTCTTGCTTAGCAGTGGAAATTTTGGGGCCAACTGTGGTCCTAAATTGAGGACTACCTGTATCATAATTTCATTTTTTTTCCCCCTGTTCCACGCAAAAATTCCAAAGGGAGTTTCCAATTAGCATTAAAGTTTCAGGTAACCTTCATCTTTCTTGAATGTCAAAATTAGATGAGCAATTTAGCGGCAAAAAAAAAATGTGGACTAATAATTGGCCCGATTAATTGACTTTTTATGCAAAAAGGATGGATCAGAGAAATTTTGGGCTCAGTTTTCGTAAGATGAGGACTGCCCGTAATTATAACTGAAAAGCATAATCATCCCCTCTTTATGGAGCTGTTTTCCCTGTACAGGTAGTCCTCGACTTACAACAATTCATTTAATGACCGTTCGAAGTTACAACAGCCCTTGAAAAATGTGAGTTATGACAGTTTTTCACACATACGACCGTTGCCCCACGGTCACAGGATCAATATTCAGATGCTTGGCAACTGATTCATACTTACGACCATTGCTGTATCCCCAGGGTCCTGCGATCCCCTTCGGAAAAAGTTGATGAGGAAGCCAAATTCATTTAACAAGTGTGGCAAGAAAAGGGTGTAAAAATGAGCCTGTAACAAATATCTCATTTAACAACAGGAGTTTTTGGCTGGATTGTGGTTATAAATCGAGGACAACCTGTAATGGAAAATGCCTTCAAAATACAGATTAGCTGATTATTAAATAGCTGGCACTTTTAATCCTTGGGCAGGGAGCAATAAATAATTATTCTTTGATTTGATACCACCAAGGAAAAACTTGGCTCTCCAAACTACAGTTTAGAGGGGAATCACAAATTAAGCACTGGTTATTTGTTTTTTGAGAAAAATCAGTGCAAGTTGCCCTTTGCCCTCCATCATTTGGAAACATGACAATAGATTATTTTTTTTTTAAAAAGGGATGAAATGAGTGAAAGAGCTTTTGGCAAGGTATCTGGCACAAACCAGATACGATGATGAAAAACTGATGAAATTTTCGTTGCAATGTCATGTCGCGAATCCAGAATTTGCAACAGTGGGATCTAAGGATGTGAGTGACAGGTTGCACGTTTGATACCATGAGGCATGGAAGAGACACGCGTACATATGCACAGATAAAGTTTGTGGCTCATGGTAATGCAAAACGCACTACGAAAAGGGAGATTTGGGAATGGGGAGAGAGAAAAAGCAGGAGAGAAAGAAAACGGAATTAAAAAAAAATAATATTAATCGGCTAAAATTAAGAGCCACTTTGGTGTAGTAAAATAGTCGCCTAGAGACCAGGAGACAGTGAGTTCTAGTTCTGTTTTAGGCATGAAAAACCAGCCGGGTGAATTTGGACCAATCACCAGAAGACCGAAAGTTCTAGTCCTTAGCAAGGAAAACATGGTCAGCAACTTTAGGCCACGGGTGTCAAACTTGCCATGTCACTTTGATGTCGTGACATATCATGACATTTTTTGCCTTCGTGGAGCTGGGGTGGGCATGGCCTGTGTGTGACGCATCCGGCCCGCTGGCTGCCAGCTTGATATCCCTGCTTTAGGCGAATCACCAGGAGACTGTGAGTTCTAGTCCTGCATTACACATGAAAGCCAGCTGGGTGACTTTGGGCCAATCACCAGGAGACTGTGAGTTCTAGTCCTGCCTTAGCCATGAAAGCCGGCTGGGTGACTTTGGGCCAATCACCAGGAGACTGTGAGTTCTACTCCTTCCTTAGATATGAAAGCCAGCCGGGTGACTTTGAGCCAATCACTAGGAGACTGTGAGTTCTAGTCCCATCTTAGCCATGAAAACCCGCTGTGTCTATGAGTCCCAGGAAAGATGCAGCTGCTTTAAAGAGCTGCAGCTGTTAGTGCTCTTCACACCCCTGTATTCTCCGAAATACCGTGTTTCCCCGAAAATAAGACCCTGTCTTATAGCTTTTTGAACGCTGAAATAAGCGCTTGGCCTTATTGCCATGCGCTCAAAAGCCCGATTGGGCTTATTATCAGGGGAATGTCTTATTTTGGGGGAAACAGGGTAGATAGAGACAGAAAGAGAGATAGAGATAGATAGATAGATAGATAGATAGATAGATAGATAGATAGATAGATAGATAGATACCACGTTTTCCTGAAAATATGACCCTGTCTTACATTTTTTTGAACCCTGAAATAAGTGCTTGGCCTTACTGCCATGCGCTCAAAAGCCCGATTGGGCTTATTATCAGGGGG